AGACTAGACTATATGACTAGAATAAGACTAGACTATAGACTAGACTATAGACTAGAATATAGACTAGACTATAGACTAGACTATAGATAGACTATAGACTAGACTATAGACTAGACTATAGACTAGACTATAGACTAGACTATAGACAGACTATTAGACTTAGACTATAGACTAGAACTATAGACTAGGACTATAGAATATACTATAGACTAGACTATAGACTAGACTATAGACAGCACTATAGACTAGACTATAGACTAGACTATAGACTAGACTATAGACTAGAATAAAGACTAGACTATAGACTAGACTATAGACTAGACTTAGACTAGACTATCGCCCTAGACTATAGACTAGACTACTAGGATAGACTATAGACTGACTACAGACTAGACTTGTCTAGCTATAGACTAGGACTATAGACTAGACTGACTAGACTATAGACTGACCAGACTAGAGACTAGATTATAGACTTAGACCCTATAGACTAGACTATAGACTAGACTATAGACTAGACTATAGACTAGACTATACTATAGACTAGACTATAGACTAGACTATAGACTAGACTATAGACCCATCTATAGACTAGATGATAGAATGAACTTTAGAATAGACTAAACTATAGAATAGACTATAGAGAAGACATTTTATAAATTAGAAAAAGTACAGCGGTATTTTTTGATATCAAAATGTACGGTAAAAGGTACCAATGTACTGACTCTATGCTTGATTTGTAGTATAAATTTTAATAATAAAAAGGTATAGATTTGTGTTAAATTTTTTGCGAATGAAACAAAATTTTTTAAAAATAAATCTGAGTTTATCCCACAATAACATCTTCATAAATAACATTTTTTTTTTCAACTTAAAAATTACAAACACAAAATGAATGTGAAAAAAAAAAAAGTTAAAAATAATAATACAATTCATAATCAAGATCATTAAATTAACAAAAAAAAATCAAGCACTATTCGTTAAACAATTGATGTGCTCTGTCATCATATAAAAACAATTTTGAATCTACAAAATGACGAATATTGAAAACTTTAAAAATAACAAAACTTAACTCCTTAAAAAACTGAAAGAAAAGAAATTAAACAATTACTTTTAATACAAAAATAATAACAATGAAATTCTTTTTCTTTAAAAAGTCATTAGTTGGCAAAATTAAAAATAGTTTTTGTACTTTAAAATCTTTTTAAAAAATAACTTTTTTTTTTTTTGTTAATTTACTCATTAAACATTTCTAAAATGCTTAATGATGTATAATTTATTTATAATTTATGTTTCGTCTTCTCTTTTTATTCACTTTAAATAATGGAAATTTTTTAGCGGATGTTTGCTTTAAATTTAAAGAAGTGTCAAAATGTCCCAGAGCTATTAATGACTGGCTGGCTGGTTGGTCTAAAGTAATTTAGTGCGGTTAGAATCATAAATAAAAATATATTTGGAAGAAACAAAATAAAAATGATTTATTCAAATTAAATTGTGTTTTAAACTCAACTAATTTGGGTAATAAAGGCTTGAAATAGCAATAGCATACTTTTAGGTTAAACAAAAAAATTACCCAGTTGGAAATTTTCTCAACTGACTAGTGGAATGGAGGGCCACTAAACTGGAAGTAGAGCTGAATTAAACTAGAACTAAACTCAAACTGAACTAGAACTGAACCAGAACTGGAGTAAAATTGATGTAGGACTGAACTAGAACTGGAGTAGAACAGAACTAGAACCGAACTAAAATTGAACTTAACTACAACCGAACTAGAACTGAACTAGAACTGAACTAGAACTGAACTAGAACTGAACTAGAACTGAACTAGAACTGAACTAGAACTGAACTAGAACTAAACTAGAAATAATCTAGAACTGAACTAGAACTGAACTGGAACTGACCTAGAACTGAACTAGAACTGAACTAGAACTGAACTAGAACTGAACTAGAACTGAACTAGAAATGAACTAGAACTGAACTAGAACTGAACTATAACTGAACTAGAACTGAACAAAAACTGAACTAGAACTGAACTAGAACTGAACTAGAACTAAACTAGAACTGAACTAGAACTGAACTAGAACTGAACTAGAACTGAACTAGAACTGAACTAGAACTGAACTAGAACTGAAATAGAACTGAAATAGAACTGAAATAGAACTGAACTAGAACTGAACTAGAACTGAACTAGAACTGAACTAGAACTAAAGTAGATTTCAACTAGAACTGAACTAGAACTAAACTAGAACTAAACTAGAACTGAACTAGAACTGAACTAGAACTGAACTAGAACTGAACTAGAACTGAACTAGAACTGAACTAGAACTGAACTAGAACTGAACTAGAACTGAACAAAAACTGAACTAGAACTGAACTAGAACTGAACATGAACTGAACTAGAACTGAACTAGAACTGAACTAGAACTAAACTAGAACTGAACTAGAACTGAACTAGAACTGAACTAGAACTGAAATAGAACTGAACTAGAACTGAACTAGAACTGAACTAGAACTGAACTAGAACTGAACTAGAACTGAACTAGAACTGAACTAGAACTGAACTGAACTAGAAATGAGGTAGAATTGAACTAGAACTGAACAAGAACTGAATTAGAACTGAACATGAACTGAACTAGAACTGAACTAGAACTGAACTAGAACTGAACTAGAACTGAACTAGAACTGAACTAGAACTGAACTAGAACTGAACTAGAACTGAACTAGAACTAAACTAGAACTGAACTAGAACTGAACTAGAACTGAACTAGAACTGAACTAGAACTGAACTAGAACTAAAGTAGATTTCAACTAGAACTGAACTAGAACTAAACTAGAACTGAACTAGAACTAGAACTGAACTAGAACTGAACTAGAATTGAACTAGAACTGAACTAGAACTGAACTAGAACTGAACTAGAACTGAACTGGAACTGAACTATAACTAAACTAGAACTGAAATAAAACTAAACTAGAACTGAACTAGAACTGAACTAGATCTGAACTAGATCTGAACTAGAACTGAACTAGAACTGAACTAGAACTAAACTAGAACTGAACTAGAACTGAACTAAAACTGAACTAGAACTGAACTAGATCTGAACTAGAACTGAACTAGAACTGAACTAGAACTGAACTAGAACTGAACTAGAACTGAACTAGAACTGAACTAGAACTGAACTAGAACTGAACTAGAACTGAACTAGAACTGAACTAGAACTGAACTAGAACTGAACTAGAACTGAATTAGAACTGAACTAGAACTGAACTAGAACTGAACTAGAACTGAACTAGAACTGAATTAGAACAGAACTAGAACTGAATTAGAACTGAACTAGAACTGAACTAGAACTGAACTAGAACTGAACTAGAACTGAACTAGAACTGAACTAGAACTGAACTAGAACTGAACTAGAACTGAACTAGAACTGAACTGAACTAGAACTGAACTAGAATTGAACTAGAACTGAACTAGAACTAAACTAGAACTGAACTAGAACTGAACTAGAACTGAACTAGAACTGAACTAGAACTGAACTAGAACTGAATTAGAACTGAACTAGAACTGAACTAGAACTGAACTAGAACTGAACTAGAACTGAACTAGAACTGAACTAGAACTGAACTAGAACTGAACTAGAACTGAACTAGAACTGAACTAGAACTGAACTAGAACTGAACTAGAACTGAATTAGAACTGAACTAGAACTGAACTAGAACTGAACTAGAACTGAACTAGAACTGAACTAGAACTGAACTAGAACTGAACTAGAACTGAACTAGAACTGAACTGAACTAGAACTGAACTAGAACTGAACTAGAATTGAACTAGAACTGAACTAGAACTAAACTAGAACTGAACTAGAACTGAACTAAAACTGAACTAGAACTGAACTAGAACTGAACTAGAACTGATCTAGAACTGAACTAGAACTGAACTAGAACAGAACTAGAACTAAACTAGATTTCAACTAGAACTGAACTGGAACTGAATTAAAACTAAATTAGAATTGAACTAGAACTGAACTAAACTAGAACTGATCTGGAACTGAACTAGAACTAATCTAGAACTGAGCTAGAACTGAACTAGAACTGAACTAGAACTGAACTAGAACTGAACTAGAACTGAACTAGAACTGAACTAGAACTGAACTAGAACTGAATTAGAACTAAACTAGAACTGAACTAGAACTGAAATAGAACTGAACAAGAACTGAATTAGAAATGAAGTAGAAATGAACTAGAACTGAAATAGATCTGAACCAGAACTCAACTAGAACTGAAATAGAACTAAAACTGAACAGAAATTAAACGTTAAATTAAAACATTAAATTAAACTTGCAGAGTTTGGAGCACAAAGTTTCCGAGTAAATTCCAGGATATTCCACTAATTAATAAACTGTTTTTATTTGTTCAAATAAATTAACTTTATTTTTAGAAAAGAAGGAAACTTAAACTAAAGTTATAAAAAGAAAATGTCAAAATTAGTTAAAGGATATTTAAAATTTTACATTGTAAATGATTTTCATGAAAAAAAAAACTTATTTCTGTAATTATTTTAAATACCAGCTTTATATTTTATTTGGTACGACACTATTATACAGAGAAAATGCAATTTTCTTCGAATTAAGAAATACAACCATAAAAATACTTAAAAAGGAAAAGAAATTTAAGATTGAAAGAAAAATAAAAATAATAAGAAGATTTCACTAAACTTAAAAACAAACTAAATTAATACGGGGTTTTTTAAAGCTATGTAAAGAAAAATGTACAACAAGTTTATATGAATAAACATATAATTTTAAATTTAAGTATTTAAAGGGGATACTTGCATAAAGTTTTTAACAATTTACTTAAAAAACTAACGATATACTTTTTCATTTCAATGAAAATGAAAAAAAGGATGAGCAATAGGAGGGGGGAGTGATGAAATAATGATGTTAATGGTGGATATAGTAAAGGTCTTAAATGTTTAAAAAAATAACTTTGATTTTACTAATGAGGTGTTTTTGTTTTAGCTTGTACTAAATGTATATAGTTTGTTCTTTATTAAAACTAACAGCCATGAGAGACAACGTAAAACCGAGCCAAATTAATGTTGTTGTTAATATTTCTTAAGTTGCTCATATGTCATAAAGAATATAACATTCCAGGGTCCCATACGCACCCAAGTGGGTATGAAACCTTTATATAAAGCCAATAAACCCTCATTTCGTACAGTCTGTAAAAGAAAAATAAATTGTTTAGTTTAGATGAGAACGATAAGATTATGCTTGTTTACCTGTATGGCACAATCTAAACTACCCGTATAGATTTTCGTAGATGTTGCTGCGGTAGCCATTCCATTAACTACCGTAACATGTCGTTGATTCATAAGGCGGGTACGTATCACATCAATAGGCGTAGAGGCAATAGCACTGCCTAAACTGGCTATAAAACTAGAGCTAACAAAAGAGAACCCCCAGCATTATAACTCATACAAAATAGTTTAAACTTTCCTTTAAAACTTACATAAAATGATTGGTCATATGATCACCAAAATATTCCATTAATTGTAGTTTACAAAAATCATAAACCGGTAATTCCACCGAAGCTATGACTACTGCTCTCTGGGCAGTAGGACCTACTCCCCGCCACAGTCCCTTAACACCTTCTAATTTATATATATCATGAAAACAGGACCAAACACTTTTCTGCATTGTACCCTTCCCATGCACTTGCATGCGTACCTTCAATACATCGGTGGGATTTGCTATGGCCGATGATATCGCTCCGGCGGCCGCTGCACACAATACATTACCCCATACTCTTTCTGTCCCCGTATCGGGATCGATAAGAAGACCATGTTCACTTACAATACTTTTAAGTGTGTAGTAGGTGCCAAATTTAATAGTGCCATAAGTGGCTTGTCTTAATACTGCCGGCCAAATTCTAAACAAATTTAGATTATCCAAAATAGAAGCAAGACAACAAAGAAATTTAAAAACAAACAAATATCAAACAAATCAGATGTTATTGACATTTTTGAGGAGAGCGATATAAAATGGCAATGACTATGACTGTGTAATTGGTCACGTTTTTGTGGGGTGATATAGAAGCATGTATGGAGAAATACCACCTTATCTAAGGCAGAGCTGTCAAACACTTATCAATAAGTGGTAGAAATTTTAGATTTTTGATAAATAAACGATAAGTCTTTAGTAGACTTACGTTTCCCAGAAGGTTCTCTGAACTAAAAATAAACTAGAACTGAACTAGAACCGAACTAGAAATGAACTAGAGCTGAACTAGAATTAAACTAGAACTGAAATAGAACTAAACTGAATTAGAACTGAACTAGAACTAACCTCGAACTAAACAAGAACTGACCTAAACTGAACTGAATTAGAACTGAACTAGAATTGAACTAGAACTGAACTAGAACTGAACTAGAACTGAACTAGAACTGAACTAGAACTGAACTAGAACTGAACTAGAAATGAACTATAACTAAACTAGAACTGAACCAGAACTAAACTAGAACTGAACTAGAAATGAACTAGAACTGAACTAGAACTGAACTAGAACTGAACCAGAACTGAACTAGAACTGAACTAGAACTGAACTAGAACTGAACTAGAACTGAACTAGAACTGAACTAGAACTGAACTAGAACCGAACTAGAACTGAACTAGAACTGAACTAGAACTGAACTAGAACTGAATTAGAACTGAACTAGAACTGAACTAGAACTGAACTAGAACTGAAATAGAACTGAACTAGAACTGAACTAGAACTGAACTAGAACTGAACTAGAACTGAACTAGAACTGAACTAGAACTGAACTAGAACTGAACTAGAACTGAACTAGAACTGAACTAGAACTGAACTAAAACTGAACTAGAACTGAACTAGAACTGAACTAGAACTGAACTAAAAAATCTATTTGTTTAAAGTTTTCCGTGTCCAATTATCCCCATCCCTGCTAAAGATTTACTTTATCAAAATAAATATATATATATTTATTTGTATATATACAAAAAATGTCTAGCATATTTGTTGTTCTAAAAATAATCTCCTTCGTATTATACCTTCGAAGAAAAAAAAAACAACAAAATGAATTAAAAATATTAAAGTAAATATTTCAACAATATTTATTGAACAATATTGTAACAGTCATTCACATTAATAAATAATGATTAAATATTCATTAAGTAAACTAATTATCATGATATAATTGTAATGATAATTGGTAGTTTTAAAACTTGTGAATATAAAATTGTAAATTATCTTTAAATTACTAAGAAATAGTTACAGCAGCATGCGCTGTAATTAAAAATGTGATAGAAGTATAAGCAACAATGGCGACGATAAAACTTTTTATAGTGGTAGCAAAAGTTAAAATATTTTAGTATAAAATTGACACTTTTTTCCACTGAATTAATTTTTCTAATAATTTCACTTCAGTTCTTTTGCTCTAAATATATTTCAACAAAAAATTACTTTATTTCAAATATTATTAAACTAGTTTTCACCAGTTTTTCCAAAAACAGTAATTTTAATTAAATGTCCGGTGATTAGAAATGTTAAAGTCAAATACAATAAAAATTATGTTAATAAAAATAACAACAACTTATCTAAATTAAAAACATTAATTACTCCCAACTAAAAGTGGTGGTGATTTATGATTTTGTTAAAAAAAAAATATTTTAGGAAAAATACTAAAGAAAAAGCTTTGTGTTGTTACTACCAAGTATGACACATTTTAAATATTTTAAATTTAAATTATCTTCAAGATTAGGCCCTTAATCTCTCGAGCAAATACCAAAGTCTATTAGCAAAAAGACACGTAATTTTTGTTCTTTAAACATTAGCTGTGTATGTTAGTATTTACTTGTTCTGTTCTGTATTTAATATATATATTTTTTTAATTTTTATTTTCATTAAATATCTTTTACAGCCATCAAATTTGTTATCTATCCCTAACAATAAACAGTTTATATGTACCTAGAAATATAGTCTACATTGTATATTATTATAATTTTTTGTTGAACAAAAACGTGAATAAATCATGTGAGTCATTTCATAATTGTCTTTTGTGTCTGAGAGTCTGAAAGATTGAATTTTGAGGGGAAGTACCAAATGATCAGTTTTTGTAGAACTGAACTAGGATTGAACTAGAACTGAACTAGAGTTCAACTAGATCTGAACCAAACTAGAGCTCAACTAGAACTGAACTAAAATTGAACTCGAACTAAACTAGAACTGAACTAAAAATGAACTAGAATATAACTAGAACTGAACTATAACTGACATAGATCTAAAGTAGAGTTCAACTAGAATTGAACTAAAACTGAACTAGAGCTGAACTAGAACTAAACTAGAACTGAACTAGAACTGAACTAGAACTGAACTAGAACTGAACTAGAACTGAACTAGAACTGAACTAGAACTGAACTAGAACTGAACTAGAACTGAACTAGAACTGAACTAGAACTGAACTAGAACTAGAACTGAACTAGAACTGAACTAGAACTGAACTAGAACTGAACTAGAACTGAACTAGAATGAACTAGAACTGAACTAGAACTGAACTAGAACTGAACTAGAACTGAACTAGAACTAGAACTGAACTAGAACTGAACTAGAACTGAACTAGTACTGAACTAGAACTACACTAGAACTAAACTAGAACTGAACTAGGACTAAACTAAAACTGAACTAGAGCTGAACCAGAACTGAACTAGAGCTAAAACTGAACTGAACTAGAACTGAACTAGAACTAAACTAGAACTGAACTAGAACTGCACTAGAATTGAACTACAACTGAACTGAACAAATGCTAAGATATTTGTATGTAGAAAGATAACACATCAACAAAAAACCACCTGTTAAGAATCACTGTCAATCATGCAAATAATGATGATAGATGTACCTAAATTAAACAAATCTTTTACTTACCCCGAATACAATGCCCTCGGACCCTCTTCTTTGGTAATTTTTATAAATGCATCCGTCATGCCACGATATCGCAGTTGTGCAAATGCTTGATCAATTTTTTGACCTTGAATCTGGAGGCGGGTTTTTGTGGTATCAATTGGAAAAGTGCCTAATAAAATGAAATTAGAAAACAAAAAAAAAAAAAAAAAAAGATTATTAAAATAACAACTACACAATCTTCGTCAGAAACACAAGCATGTAAACAAATACAGTTTTTAATAAAAACAATAAAGAAAAAAGTTTATGAAGAAAATAACATGACTCTGGCGTAAATAAATAAAACAAACAAAAAAAAAAAAACTTAAACGATAAGACGGACCCCACTATTGCACACGCGAGATACTTGAAAACATCAGAATCGCATCAGAGGGAAATAGAAATTTGCACACACTTTGTTACAAACACCAAGTATTTATTCTGTTCTATACATACTACACATGGGCAGTAGAATAAAATAAACCTCCTCACCAGACCGTTATACACAATTTCCTTTAAAGTCAGCCCCCCAACGTAGTCGACAACGAGTTCAGAAAAGTTGTCTATATGATGATAATAAATAATCTGTTGTTTATTTATTGTTTTTATTTAATTTCAATAATTGCAATTGTTATTGCGTCATGTGTTTTTCTATTCATTATTCCTTTTATATTCACAAACATGTTTGTTTTCTTTGAGATGGAATTTTTTATTTTCTAAAATTTACCAAATTCTGCTGTAATTGATGCCAAACCACCATAAATAAAAGGTCGTATATCACGTTTATCCAAATTTTGTTTCATTTCGTTTATTATTTTTTAAAAACTTCGTTAGTCGTTTTTTATTTTTTGTATATTTATTTTATATTTTCTATAAATTTTCTTTTATAATTTGTAGCAGCAAAAAAAAATCACTCTAAATTCTATTACGCGAGGTTAGATTATCGTTTTTTGCAAATGTTTTTTTCTTCTCAGAATATATTGTTCTAACAGCTGTGAGAGAGAAATGTCAAAATCGCAGCTGTTCGAAATTAGTGTTGCCAGAAGAATTGTTTATTTATAAGTAATCAGTAGGGTTCTATAGTTAAAACGAAAAGTCGACTTTTCGACTTTTTTCATTTAGTTAAAAGTCGACGCACATAAAGAAAACAACCCGACGAAAATAAAACAAACCGTTACAGCTGTTTTATCAAAATAAACATTTTTTTTGGTGTGGTGAGTTATTTTTGTTTACAAATATGTGTTTCTGCACGTGGAAAAGACGCAAAAACTCGTTTTCATTATTTACATTTTCAATATGTGTTTATGCACGTGGAAAAGATTCAAAAAAATTGATTTTCATGATTTACTTTAAAAAAAATATTTTTGATCAATTAAAATATGTATATAAATGTGGAAAGGAACAAATCTGATAAAATATAAATATATTTGGGATTATATCGTTACAGAATGCCTTTTAATAAAAAAACATTCAAAAAATTTTACTATAGCCGTATATATAAAATGATATATAAGTGCTATCGGACGATCTTGTGCACGATAAAAACCTATATAGAACTTTAAGTTGGAAGTGTAGAAATCAAATGGCATACATTTTTTTCCGGATTTCATCGTTCTAGGGCGTGTACTACAACAACAAACTTTTTTTTTACAAAAAATGTTACTATAGCCGTATATATAAAATGATATATAAGTGCTATCGGACGATCTTGTGCACGATAAAAACCTATATAGAACTTTAAGTTGGAAGTGTAGAAATCGGATGGCATACATTTTTTTCCAGATTTCATCGTTCTAGGGTGTGTACTACAACAACAAACTTTTTTTTTACAAAAAATGTTACTATGGCCGTATATATAAAATGATATATAAGTGCTATCGGACGATCTTGTGCACGATAAAAACCTATATAGAACTTTAAGTTGGAAGTGTAGAAATCGGATGGCATACATTTTTTCCGGATTTCATCGTTCTAGGGTGTGTACTACAACAACAAACTTTTTTTTACAAAAAATGTTACTATGGCCGTATATATAAAATTATATATAACTGCTATCGGACGATCTTGTTCACGATAAAAACCTATATAGAACTTTAAGTTGGAAGTGTAGACATCGGATGACATATATTTTTTTCCAGATTTCATCGTTCTAGGGTGTGTACTAAAACAACAAACTTTTTTTTACAAATAAAATTATATATAAAATTATATATAACTGCTATCGGACGATCTTGCGCACGATAAAAACCTATATAGAACTTTAAGTTGGAAGTGTAGGAAACAGATGGCATACATTTTTTTGTAGATTTCATCGTTCTAGGGTGTGTACTACAACAACAAACTTTTTTTTTTAAAAATGTTACTATAGCCGTATATATAAAATGATATATAACTGCTATCGGACGATCTTGTGCACGATAAAAACCTATATAGAACTTTAAGTTGGAAGTGTAGAAATCGGATGGCATACATCTTTTTCCGGATTTCATCGTTCTAGGGTGTGTACTACAACAACAAACTTTTTTTTTACAAAAAATGTTACTATAGCCGTATATATAAAATGATATATAAGTGCTATCGGACGATCATGTGCACGATAGAAACCTATATAGAACTTTAAGTTGGAAGTGTAGAAATCGGATGGCATACATTTTTTTCCGGATTTCATCGTTCTAGGGTGTGTACTACAACAACAACCTTTTTTTTTACAAAAAATGTTATTATGGCCGTATATATAAAATGATATATAAGTGCTATCGGACGATCTTGTGCACGATAAAAACCTATATAGAACTTTAAGTTGGAAGTGTAGAAATCGGATGGCATACATTTTTTTCCGGATTTCATCGTTCTAGGGTGTGTACTACAACAACAAACTTTTTTTTTACAAAAAATGTTATTATGGAAGTATATATAAATTGCTATATAACTGCTATCGGACGATCTTGTGCACGATAAAAACCTATATAGAACTTTAAGTTGGAAGTGTAGAAATCGTATGGCATACATTTTTTCCAGATTTCATCGTTCTAGGGTGTGTACTACAACAACAAACTTTTTTTTACAAAAAATGTTACTATAGCCGTATATATAAAATAATATATAACTGCTATCGGACGATTTTGTGCACGATAAAAACCTATATAGAACTTTAAGTTGGAAGTGTAGAAATCGGATGGCATACATTTTTTTCCGGATTTCATCGTTCTAGGGTGTGTACTACAACAACAAACTTTTTTTTTACAAAAAATGTTACTATAGCCGTATATATAAAATGATATATAAGTGCTATCGGACGATCTTGTGCACGATAGAAACCTTTATAGAACTTTAAGTTGGAAGTGTAGAAATCGGATGGCATACATTTTTTTCCGGATTTCATCGTTCTAGGGTGTGTACTACAACAACAAACTTTTTTTTTACAAAAAATGTTAATATAGCCGTATATATAAAATGATATATAACTGCTATCGGACGATCTTGTGCACGATAAAAACCTATATAGAACTTTAAGTTGGAAGTGTAGAAATCGGATGGCATACATTTTTTTCCAGATTTCATCGTTCTAGGGTTTGTACTACAACAACAAACTTTTTTTTTACAAAAAATGTTAATATAGCCGTATATATAAAATGATATATAAGTGCTATCGGACGATCTTGTGCACGATAGAAACCTATATAGAACTTTAAGTTGGAAGTGTAGAAATCGGATGGCATACATTTTTTTCCGGATTTCATCGTTCTAGGGTGTGTACTACAACAACAAACTTTTTTTTTACAAAAAATGTTACTATAGCCGTATATATAAAATGATATATAAGTGCTATCGGACGATCTTGTGCACGTTAAAAACCTATATAGAACTTTAAGTTGGAAGTGTAGAAATCGGATGGCATACATTTTTTTCCGGATTTCATCGTTCTAGGGTGTGTACTACAACAACAAACTTTTTTTTTACAAAAAATGTTACTATAGCCGTATATATAAAATGATATATAACTGCTATCGGACGATCTTGTGCACGATAGAAACCTATATAGAACTTTAAGTTGGAAGTGTAGAAATCGGATGGCATACATTTTTTTCCAGATTTCATCGTTCTAGGGTGTGTACTACAACAACAAACTTTTTTTTTTTTTTAAATGTTACTATAGCCGTATATATAAAATGATATATAACTGCTATCGGACGATCTTGTGCACGATAAAAACCTATATAGAACTTTAAGTTGGAAGTGTAGAAATCGGATGGCATACATTTTTTTCCGGATTTCATCGTTCTAGGGTGTGTACTACAACAACAAACTTTTTTTTTACAAAAAATGTTACTATAGCCGTATATATAAAATGATATATAACTGCTATCGGACGATCTTGTGCACGATAGAAACCTATATAGAACTTTAAGTTGGAAGTGTAGAAATCGGATGGCATACATTTTTTTCCAGATTTCATCGTTCTAGGGTGTGTACTACAACAACAAACTTTTTTTTTTTTTTAAATGTTACTATAGCCGTATATATAAAATGATATATAACTGCTATCGGACGATCTTGTGCACGATAAAAATCTATATAGAACTTTAAGTTGGAAGTGTAGAAATCGGATGACATACATTTTTTTCCGGATTTCATCGTGCTAGGGTGTGTACTACAACAACAAACTTTTTTTTTACAAAATATTTTATTATGGAAGTATATAGAAAATTATATATAACTGCTATCGGACGATCTTGTGCACGATAAAAACCTATATAGAACTTTAAGTTGGAAATATACAAATCGGATGGCATAATTTGTTTTGTGGATTTCATCGTTCTAGGGTGTGTACTACAGCAACAAACTTTTTTTACAAAAAATTTGACTATATCCGTATATAGAAAATTATATATAACTGCTATCGGAAGATCTTTGCACGATAAAAACATATATAGAACTTTAAGTCGGAAGTGTAGAAATCGGATGGCATAATCTGTTTGAGATTTTAGGTAAGGTCAACTGTGGACCGACCCTTACAAAATTCAACAGATAAATTTTGTTTCATTTAAGCCAGTTATGAGTGGTAGTAATTTCCCGAGGTGGACCTTATATCGGGGATAGGTTAAATTATGGACCGATCCCCTTAAATTTGACAAAACGATGTTGACTCCTTGTTTATGTGGAATTTCTTTGCTATATTGGTATTTTTATTACAATTATTGGAGTTAATATCTTTTTCTGAAGGGGAACTTATATGGGGGTAGGGTCAATTTTAAACCAACCCAGAAAGGTTTTGGATCATATAAATCTTGTAAAATAATTTCCTGGTCCTCATAAAATTTGGCAAAAAGATTTTAGTTCCTATAAAACTTGTTTTTGTCGTTCTTCTTCGCTATACTGGAATATTGAAGCTCAATAATAAACTCCATCAACTAAAAATATTTTGGCAAATATTGGCTAAGATCCTAGTCTATACTTTTATGGATTTTAGACCAATATTTCGGTGTAAAAGTTCCTTGGCTCCCTGATGAGTTTATCGTATACCGATATTGTCCATTTTCAATAACAAACTCAATCTTAGACTGTAATAAGATCCCAGCATATACTTTTATGGATATTAGACCAATATTTCAATGTGTTACAAACGGTGTAAAATGTTCCTTGACTCCCTGATGGGTTGTGTCTTCCAAGTGGTGATTTAGCGATCTTGAAAGTGACGGAACTAATAGGGAATCACATTGTTCGCCGGTCTCTGGTAAAATTTTAGGTTGATAGTCATGCTGCATTTAAAGCATTAATATGTCATAGCTGTATTCTTGCATAGTCGTAGAATGAAGAAAAGATCTAAGTATTATTATGAGACCGTTTACAATAAGGCTGTGTTGGGTACCAGGACCCTGCAATATACACAAATGAGGTATCTGGCGAACTGATACGATGAGGCTCGAATCTTGTCCCATATGAACGGAACAAAAAGTTAAAGCCACCCCTTTTTCATTTTTTAGGTTGATCTCCGGTGGATTCCGTGAC